CAACCGATTGCAGGGAAAGCACCGAGTTTGCGATGGATGTAAAATCTTGTAGAGAGAGATTTTTGTGTTAGTGGAAACTTGAAATTCCAAATATTGGGCTTGGCGGTTTGAACTCAGTTTAAAAAACCGTAAATGTTTCGCGCTAAATCTTCTCATCGTTTTGGTAATTTTTTGCATGCCTCACTCGCACACAAATGCATAAAATGGCATATACATTTAAAAACAAATATACTATATAATAATAAGATTTTCTCGCAAACGGCTGGCTACTGAATTTTGTGATCTCATCATAACGTTGCAGCCGTCTGACGCGAATCCTATAATATTTTCTAACGGATCCCTCTATCAGTAAATTTCTTTAGCTTCTGCTATAGCTCCCTCTGCTGCCATCGTAAAATCACCTGCCTCAAATAAAGGTGCCAGTTCCAATAGTGAGGACATGCCCTTTTTGCTGCTCATCAATATAACGGATAATAATGCACATGGTTTTTGTGGGCGGAATATCCGTTGATTCATCGAACAGTATGCTGAATAGATTATATTTAATAATGTTGTCTATATAACCTTTTTGGAAATCACCAATAACATTTTTACCGTAGATGTGCATTTTTAAAAATTCATTTGATCAATATTTATTTTTCTTTAAATTTTCAATATTTTTTGTTTATTTCCTTTCCTTTAAATAAATAAAATAATTAGATTGTGAAGCATGTCATGACAGTGTAGGAGAAATGAAGTTTACAGAATGAAGTTTCCAGTAAATTCGATCCTATTCTTATTTTGCCTGTACAGTACAATAAATAAATATTGTTGGTTGGATTTATTGTTTACTAGTTACTTTTTATAGAATTATTTTTACAATAGTTGACTGTTGTATTTTTGTTGAATTAAAAATTAAAAATACCTATTTTGTTTTTTTTTACCCTTTACATCACTAGCTTTACTTAGTTTGCGGCGCGTTAAATTTTAGTAAATTGACTCCCTTATCTGATTATTTACGTTGGCCTGACGGAATTTTCTGTAAACACAAATGCACGACAAAAGTAAATCATTAAATGTATTTTTAACTGTAATTTGCAATGTATGAACATTAGCCATTTCCTAATTATTATGACTTATTATGATTATTATGTAGTGGTGGCGGAAGTATATCACTGCCCGTGAACTGAAACAGGAGATGGGCAGCAGCATCTTTCTGATAACTTCAATATATATTATTAAGGATAACTCAAAAACTATTGGTCTTACCGTGATCAAATTTATATGGGACCACATGAGAAGCACCAGCTTTCAAATAAAAAAATAATCATCGAAATCGTTTCACGTAGAAAAAAGTTATGAGGTATCATACATAAAAAAAACATACAGTCGAGTACATCCCCCTTTTTGAAGTCTGTAGAAAAACTGCGGTTATCTACGCACTAACCCGCCTCCCAAGCGTGGCAACTGTGGCAAAATCCCCCACTATAAGGCAATTAAAGTAAGTAGTAGGTCTACCTTCAGTAGTGGCCTTTTGATAGGCTATAATGAATGAATGAATGATGACGCCCCTTGACCTGGGTGTAAGTGTAAGTGGCGGAATGCGACAAATCGCGATGCGATGCGACACCGCGCCATGTGATCGAGACATCCCTACTTTTATTGCAATGATGAAATATGTCAGAAGGACTAAGTATTGTACAGTTTTGCACTGTCGTGTCTTTATTGTTCAACTAGAAGCTAGAACCATATCTGAAGTAGAAGATACTGTAAGTTTATTCTGCGTAAAAACCATAAATTAATATTAAAAAACTGAAGGTAGCCGGGCTAACTATGACATCTGGACGTCAAACATCCTCTGTATCCCCCCGTGACCATGGATTGCTGTAAAGCACCCGAAACGTTGTGAATTAAAATAGTAAATTAAACGCGATAAAATCCGTAAAAAATAGTTTAATTCAACATATCTGAAGTGTTCATAATACGGGAGAATATTATTCTGCATCTTCTGTATAATCCTTAAATTTTAGGCACTATAATAAAAACGAGAAATGCTTTTAATTTTGTTAAACTATTAACATCCACGCATTCTATCTTGGATGAGCTGAAGTTAGGCCAGAGTGACTGCGCAGATATGCAACGTTTACACACTCGTCGAGCACAGAGGAGTAGGCACGAGTACGAGTATGTAAACGCCTTGTTCGGATGTTCTCGCTACTGTTCTGAGTATTCCCCTGTTCTCCACTCGATCATTATTTAATGTCGGTTTTTTGGCACGAGTAAAAGGACTGCTTCACATCGCTACGGGCAAACATACTTTATGAGATCAATAAAGTACGTAAAAATACATTATTTTACCTATTTTTACAAATTTCAACATTTTATTTTAATGTTTACTAAAAGAACGAATTATATAATTAGATTACTTAAAGATGTCAAATGATACACAACAAGGTATTACAACTATATTTACTCAAAAAAAGTGGCAACCCTATTCGCTTAACCCGTGAACTTTTAAACTTTATTTTTCTTATAAAATAATAATGGTAAAATTAGCTGCCCACTGCGATGAATTGCAGTAACGATTCCACTATTTTAGAACCTTATCAAGGACCCGTGATATGGGGTCTTAGAAATTAGTTTGAAATAAATAATATTTTATCATCATCATTACAGTTCTTCATAAGTCCACTGCTGAAATAGGTCTACCCTAAGGAATGCCACTAGGTCCTGAGCCTAGGTGCTGAGCATGTGCCTGCATGTTTTACCAGATTATCGTCCCATCTATAGGGGGCGTAGTAAAGCAAGTATACAGGTGCACGTCATTCATGTTTAAAAGGAACAAAGTGGTAACTAATTGAATTGAAAATGGAAACTTTAGTTTTCTTCTTCTACTTAGTGTTCTTAGGTAAGTTTATGGTTCAAATTGAAATACGATAATGTTTTTAATCATTTTAATCGTAATCATTCTTATTTTCTTTATAATCACATAATTATTATTATTATTCTGATTCACACTTAAAAATAAATTTAAAATAAATTAAATGAAAACACTCTGTAATAATAATTTATACAAAATTCAGTCGGTTCCTGACATTATTTGATTACATTAAAAGTATACAATGAAATATACAGTAATAGGAATCAGGCACATTATTATAATAAATCTATTTACTAGTGAGTTGAAGAATATTTCACTAAAACATTGAAATACCTAAAAGTAATAGGTAATGAGCGTGTTGTCTTCTGGGCGTGGACGTATTCACTTTATATAATAGAATAAATAATCAATTGATCCCACAAAACAAAAATTCACCTTTGAGCACAATCATAATATAATCAGATTAATAATCATTGCAATTGAGCAACTTGCACAACATATTACTTAATTAATAATACTTGTATTAAAATCAGTGAAGCGCATCTCTATAATAAACTTAATCTGAGCAAAAATCGAATTAATCATTTAGCATTGAATCAGCTTCGATCGATAGAAGGATGGAAAAGTATATTTTCGTTATAAGCATGGACGACTTTTTTATTCTAATCTTTGGTGTGCTGGGCATAACAACGTCGACCTGCGACTAAATGCAATGCTTAAAAGTATTTGAAAATGAATTGGACTCTTGTATAAATTGTAAATAAAAAACAGCATTTAGTCGAGACCGTCACTCCACACGGGAACGTACTATAATGAGTCGGTAACGCCTTCGATTCTAAACTACGGACGCAGATAGTTGGTACAAAAATAGTTCACCTATCCAATAAAATTAACACTACTTAACAATTAAGTATCGCGAGGAGGCAGTTACTTAACATTCAACATTATATGAAACGGAGGTTCTCTTATCTAGCAATCAGTAAGGGATAAAAAAAACAAGATTCATAAATCTTTTGAAACAGACGAAGGACACTGGGCGTTTGTGAGCCTCCTCCAATTATAATAACACTACTTATGCGTATCACACTAAGGTAAATTGACTAGGCGTATTGTGAGTCGGTCACGCTGGTTTCGTGAACTTTTATCTAGGCTTTGTCAATAAATAAGATTATTAATAAATGATATTTGTAATGAGGAAAGTGAAGTATAAAAATTATTCATAAAGAAAAATAATAGGTACTAATGAGTAATCATTTACTACTAAATGATAATTGAAATCATTCGATATTAAATAAGTTAAAACGGATTTTACAAATATCATTTATAAACTACCTCAATAAAGACCTTATTCTTATAACAGCATACAGAGCTGTGAATAAGACGATCAAAGCCTGTTTATTAGCATACTGCACGTATTACTGACGCGTCCCCATCGGTGTCAATACATATTATTCAGTAGTGACCGGCCTTGCGACAGAACAACGTTAGCACTAATAGCATTTTGGACTCTACACTTTCACAGGACTGGATTAATCGATAGACAAGACAACTTTGCACGACAAACATATTGTATGGTAAATTAATAGTTAATATTTTGTCTACGGCTCCTTGGAATATACGTAACGAAACGTATATCCGTTTTTTGATTTGGGATATTTACTATTTACGCGGTAGACCGGTAGAATTTCTCGCGATGTTTCACCTACAATTGTAGGTTGTCAAGTGTGACGTTATTAGTCGTCTATCGGGAACACATGAGTCGGAGGAAGCGGCAATAATACGAGCGTCGCTCACTGGTGCGGCTGGCTGATTTGATGAAATTTTGCGTCACGCCAATCTAATGATTCAGTACTCGCTGCAATAAGTATGAACGTAGTGACATCACTAATCTCCAGCTGGTTGCAACGCGTCGATTCAGCCGCGTACGTTGACGGGTATCACTGTAGGAATGACGTCACGTGCGCTCAAAATCGCTCGTTGGCGTCTCGTTGACGTGTGTGAGATGTGCCCCCTCACTGCGGGCGGCGAGGGGCGGCGCTATCAGGAGCCCTGCGAGGAGTCTGGTGTAGGGATGACGTGACGCGTGTCGTCCGCGTGGCGCTGACGCGTGGAGCGTGGCAGGTGCGTGCGAGGCGCGCGCTCAGAAGCCTTGCGCGTGGTCGGGCGGGTCGGGCGGCAGGTAGTGCAGGTCGGGCGCGGGCGCGGCCAGCAGGTTGTGCAGCACGGCGAACAGCGTGCAGGCGGCGTACGCGCCCAGCGCCGCCCACCACAGCAGGCGCTCCCACAGGCGCTGCTGCGCGTGCTTCAGCACCAGCAGCCCGATGGTCAGCCCGGCCAGCGCGCCCGCCACGTGCGCCGCGTACGACACCGGCGGCGCCTCCTGCCACACAACACACTATTTTAAGAAAACAACTTACTAACGATTCCTAACGTAGTTGCACATTATTTAACAAAACTGAGCGATAAACGGACATACAGCCCCAGAATATTCGAACAGGCTTATTTTTACAGGTTCAGAATAAGTAATCTAAACGAATGGTGTAGAAAAATTAATTTATAAAAATTTCAAAATTTTGTAATTTTTATCTTTTAAATTCTGAATACGTGTAATGCTTTAACTGATTGTTATTCATAAATATCTAACGCCTACTATTTTACTACGCACGCACACATTCGTAAGGGTCACTCGGTCGGTAAAAACGTTATAAATTGAATCGCACACAGAGGAAGCCACGTTAGTTATTGCCCGAAAATCATATTAAATTTGGGATTATTTCAAATAAAAGTAGAAGCTTTATTTACTCGTATATTCAAAAACTGCAACAACGATATATCATTATTTATATATTTGAACTTAAGTATAAAATTTGGATACTCTTTGAAAAATAACCCAGTATAATTTTTTAAAAATTGACATTGACACAGATATCATAGCGATGAATTCTAGAATTATTAATAATGTTATGTTCATCATTTTTAACCCAAAACGGATCAAACAAAAACGGAAAAAAAAGTTCGAAAAAATAGCTGATGTTAGTTGATTCCATAATGAAGTTGTGCGGGAAATCGTTGTTTCTCTCTTTTTCTGTCTAGAAGTCTGTCGTCTGGATATGTGCCTGCACGGCTGTGCGAGAACTAGTATGATTGTAAGCTGTGGGTGTGGGGTATTATATCTTAATCCTTAGAACAACAGATAATGTATGTAGTTTTCTGTCTAAAATTAGCTGCATGTGTTCATGGATAGTAGTAGTTACTTATCACCAGGTGAACAATAAGTTTGAAATTAGTTACGTAACAAACGTACCATTCATCCATCTATCCATTACTACCTATAAAAGTCTCAACATAGTCCTCCCTCATAGATTACTTCATGGGGTGATTTTGCCATAGTTTTGTCAAGTGGGTTAGCAGCTGCAGTATTTTATTATTTTGAATTGTTATCAGGAAGATGCTGCTGCTCACCTCCTCTTTTATTTTCTCTCTGTCCCCTCTTACACTGCCACTGCACGGTAACAAACGTATATTATTAAGCATTCGCGAATGCGAATATTTGTTATCGATATTCGCGGATGCGAATGCGAAAATTCGTTACATTACTATTTAATTTAAAAGAAACGTAAGAGCATGGGTGGGCGCACTGACCTTGGTGTATCTGGCGTGGACCGCGAAGCCGACGTCGCAGGAGGCGACGGCGAGCGCGGCGACGAGGCGCACGGCGCCGTAGCGCATGGCGTGGAAGTTGAGCAGCGCGTTGGCCAGGTGCGCCGCCAGCAGCGCGTACACGCCGCCCGACGCGCCCGCCAGGCACACGTCGGGGTCCAGCACGGACGCCGCCAGCGAGCCGCCCAGCACGCCCGCCGCGTACACCGCGCCGCACCGCGCCGCGCCGTGCACCATCTCCAGCGGCAGCCCCACCTGCCATCACCGCCGCACACCGCACACGTTATTCGCGGTCTCGCACATTCTACTAATACCCTTTCTTTTAGCCGGTTCTATTTCCGGTTATGTATAGTAAGGCCTGAAGACTCTATTATAGAATAAAGTACCACCCTTATTCTAAGTTAACAGTATAAATAATACATTATTAACAGTATAGACAACTTACTGTTAATGTTTTTTTTTTATAAAATAACGGTGATAACCGAGCACACAGTCAAACACAGATGCCCATAGACATCGATATTTAATCCTCGATTAAGAATCAGAAGTGATTTGCGTTATCACCCATGAGGAGGCATTCCATCTAATAGGACTAAGATGAAATGTCTCGTTTCCCGTTAAGTCTGCAATTCTTTACACTCACACACTGTTTTAAACGTGGTAGAGCCACGCTGCAGTCTAACGTCAATAGATGGCGATATAATCAATTAATTCCTCAATCGCACTTTATTAGGAGAGTTCCTTATCATTATTCGCAAAGATCAAAAAATAATTTATTACAGTTCATAATCAATGTCTGTGCTTAAATGCCATTGCCGATTAATAAATTACATATGCAGTTAACTCCTGTTATCAACTCTAACTAAGCTTAAAATGCTTGTGCTAAGGAGTGGTTCACGACAGTAGTCGAATGGCGGATTCGACTGGCTTTTAGACTATTAGCCTTAACCTTTAAGCTACTGTCGGAAGTTACCACTGTGATTCGTTTAGCTGATTATCCAGAAAGTAAACAAGTGATTATAATTGGAATATAGTTTTAAATACCATAATTACAAGATGATTATGCCGATAAAAAAATATAAAAGAAGCCTTTGGTTAGAATGGATATTTATAAAAAGTACTACTTACTACTTAGAATGGATATTTATAATAAGATATTTATAATATGTATTATTCATTCTGTGGTAATACCAAATAATTACATTGCCTTGACAGCATTTAGTTTAAATCTAGGTACTTTTTTTATTAAGATTATTCATTAATTATGTTTAGAATAGTTTTAAGGTTTGATAAAAAATAGGTAACTTTATTTTTTACTTTTTTATCGATGGGAGATATAGTGTAGCCCCCACGACAGTAAATATTAGTGTTAAGGCAGCATAAGTTTAAGTAGTATAAGATCTAGAAAAAGCAACACGTATCTCTCATTTAACACATTTACAACATTACAGATCGCTTACATACTTTCTACCAAATATATATCATAAAAAACAAAAAATACATTTTTCAACACTTGCGTAAAGTAAGTTTAGAAAAAATGTCGTTAGAATCGCGTGTCGGTTGTGGTAAACAAATGCGTTATTCATTGTATGGAACGGTCACAGACTGTTCGCAGGCCGCTGCCCATCACAAAACGTTACACCACTGTAATAACCCGACGTAACCGTAAACGAACCACATACAAGTGTCGCACTAAATCTAGTGTATGGATTTCAATTTCATTTCTTCGCCTCGATGCCGCGCTGGTATCAAATGCATGTTGAAATTTTACTTTCCGTTTCCGCGTGGCGTTGCACAGCTCCGTAAGTTTCATTATATCCCGCTACGTTCGACATCCGCGTTCCGGTCTAACGATATTCATGCGTGTGTCCGCCTATATTTTACTGCTACATTGATCAAGATTATATATGTAAAAAGTATATACTCCATACAAGGTTGGGCAATAACAGTACAGTACAAAACACAAACATGCGTGATAGACCAAGGATAATTAATTACATCTCTTATGCATGAGGTTGCTGGAAGAGCTCCAAATCGTTTATATACGTTAAAGAAAAGCATTGCATTGGAAGTTGCAAGATAATAGATATAGCATATTTTTTAAGAACTTTATGTCCCACTACTGAACAATAGACTCCACTTTGGTCTTATATTCGTTCGTTCTGTTTTAACGCCAGGTATTCGAAAAAAATCCGTTTATTATATAGTTGTTCATTTGTTGTAGGTTGACCAAGTGGTCCGTTTAACAGTCGCTGGTACGCACGCAATGCGGTGTTTCTAACGCGATCAATGAGCCCAAGCCACGATATATTACCTACCATGGCCCTTTGAGAGAACTCTTTGGTGGAGATTTTCGCCTATTTTCACATCATTTTTCTTTTTTTGAAGTTTCCGTTAGCCAAGTTGACATTCTACAAGCGTAAATGCTTATAGGAAACGAAAAATAAACGAAATCAACTATGTTAAAAGTTGGAAATGAACTTGGTTATCCCTGCTGAAGAATCTTAGCAACATAACTTCTAAAATTATAGACCAAATTAATAAGAAATAAGCTATATTATATTATTTCGATACAGGCTGAATTTATGTGAAACTTTCAATTTATGTGAACAGGGTAGGCATTTTATGACTTTCTAATCTTTTACAACAAATATGAGGTTACATAATACCATACAGTCTCTTCTTTAATAGAGAAGCACAAAAGTAAAATTTCTTTAAGGTCAAACGACATAGCAAAATTTTACACAGCTGACAGCTAAACCATTGATTGTACAACTAGAGGTAAAATGACGTGAAACTAACATGATGAGTTAAACTGATAATAAGCAACATGCTATCTAACGACATACTAGTTAACTGTTTGTCATAGAGTCCTCTCATTATCGTCATCTGTACATATTTTTGCCTTTTATTGGTCCAAAACGAAGAGAAGATACGCGCTGGCATCAACGGAAGAATGGAATTATCCCACAAGGAACTTTTCAAACCCCAAAGTAACTTAAACACATAGAATTTCCTAACTTTATTTATATTATCAAGAAGATAATTAAGATAGCAATTTGTACCAATGCATATATTTTTGGTTTTGATGTTCATTATAAGAATGTAACTGGGTACCCGAACATCAAAAGTTTTCATGTTATTCCAAACGACAAATAAACCTTAGCAAAATAAATCATGTTGTGGTTAGGTATTAGCAAGAATAACCTAAGATTTCTTCAAATAAGGTAATAGGCCAGATCTTTTTATACATAACAGAATAATGTAAATACAGTACATATAGGGTGTGTTCCGATATACACTGTGACCACTGTAAGGTGTGACGTCAATTCAGTATACTGTGAAGCCCTTCCTTTTCTGCCGGTTTCAAAAAGGAGACGGTACTCAAATTCGACTGTATGTTTTTTTATGTGTGTTAGCTCATAACGTTTTACTGGGTGAACCGATTTCAATGATTCTTTTTTTATTTGAAAGCTGGTACTTCACATGTGGTCCCGTATGTATCCCGTACGTCCCGTAATTTGATCAAGGAGAGACCAACAGTTTTTGAGTTATTCTTAATAATTTATATTGAAGTCGTCTGTACAAAATTTTTAATTTTACATTATTAGTTTTCTATACTGGTTACTGTTTAAAACGGAACGCAGTTTAGTATACTGTCATCCGACACCTGTTTTCAAATGAAATATTTATCATTGAATAAAACTATTTTTACGGATTTTATCGCGTTTAATTTACTTATTTTTATATTCCCGACGTTTCGGTTGCTTTCCAGCAACCGTGGTCACGGGGGACTGAGGTGATTGACGTCCCGATGTCAAAGTTAACCCGGAGTACCTTCAGCTTTTTAATTATTAATTTTGGTCCGATCTACGCAGAATGAACTAACTGTGTCTTGAAGTCTTACAGTGGTATGCTTGGGTTTAGTTTTAATTTTATGAATTACAGGATCCCAAGCAGGTGGTAGTACCCAGCCTCCCTCTCTATTGAAATTAGGATGTTTTTTAATTTCAATAGCCTCACGTATCATCCTTGGCAGGAATCGATGTTCTTTCGCGAGGACTTGTGGTTTATCAAATCTAATGTAATGACGGGGGCCGTCTAGGATATGATCACAAACTGCAGACTTCCCGGAACGTTGGTGCTTCACGTCAGCTATGTGTTCTTTTACGCGGGTTTTTATTGATCGTTTTGTTTGCCCTATATATGAGAGACCACACTCACAATCAAGCTTGTATACTCCTGCATCTTGTAGAGGAATATTGCACTTGACGGATGGTAAGAACTGACTAATCTTCTTCGGCGGCTTGAAGAATGTTCTAATAGAAGCTCGCTTCAAGATGTAGCCAATCTTGTCTGTGCCACCTCTGACATATGGTAGTACAGCAGGCACACGCTCGACTGTGGCCGGCTTCACTCGGTCACTGTGACGTAGGCGCGGAACCCGAAGCTTGTTGTCGTGCAGAACCTGCTTGACGTGCTGAAGCTCGGCGGCCAGGTGTTTGCTGTCACAGATCCCTCGTGCTCTCTGCAACAAAGATTTGCCCACGGTAGCTAACTGTGAAGGGTGATGGTGGGATTCACCGTTTAAGTATCGGTTTGTATGGGTCTTTTTTCTATACACAGTGTGACCTACGGTGTTATTAGGATTTCGAATGACTAACACATCTAGGAAAGCTAAAGAATTATTTGCCTCTAACTCCATAGTAAATTGAATTTTAGAGTTTATGGAATTAAGATGTTCTAAAAATGCAGTTACTTTGTCTGATGGTAAAATTGTGAAAGTATCGTCTACGTACCGCTTGTAGAAACTTGGAGTTACTGGTGCACTAAGCAGGGCTTTCTCCTCAAAGTCCTCCATGAAAATATCGGCGACAATGGGAGATACCGGTGAGCCCATCGCAACACCATCTACTTGCTTGTAAAACTGTTCCTTCCACAATAGGTAGCCAGATGTAAGGCAATGTCTGAGTAATACTGCATATTCTGCTGGCATGTTGTTTTCCTCTAGTTTCCTAGTTATAATTGAGATGCAGTCTTCAACAGGTAGGCATGTAAATAGAGACTGAACATCAAAACTGACCATAGTTTCATTGTCAGTAAGACATAGGTCTTTTATCTCACTGACAAAATGGTATGAATCCTTAGTGTGTGCTCTTGTATGTCCTCTGAGTGGTGATAGTACTTTTGCTAAGTGTTGAGCCAATCTGTAAGTTGGCGAATCGATCTGACTCACTATTGGACGTAATGGAGCG